ATAATGTCTTCGTGCGAGATCAAATCATCTAAAGTATTTGGTCGATACTTCTCTACCCTACGATCATATAATATTATAGTGAACAAAAAGTACAAAATTTAAATTGGTAATATAAGTCTTAAGATAGATTATGTCTTACCAAGGAAGATTTGGTTTTGCTTTCATCATTGTACCTATAATATGTTAAATGTTAATATGAAAATTATAATCTCAGTTATCTTAGTATTTTAAAAGTATTTTACGATCTTTAAATTTTTATGAATTTATGAATATAGATTGGAACGATTAGATACATATTATCTTTCTACAAATTAGTAATTAATAATTATAATTTAATTTATTTATTGTTACTTGTTTATCTGCTGTATACTTGACACTATGTAATTTKTATCACTTGTGAAGATGTATTTGTTCAATAGTTGTACCAAATGTGTCCAAATACTGAATACTGAAGTCTGWAATTCTATATTTTAAAAATGTTGTTGTACAATTACATTAGGCATTTATATTATTTATCTTTTTAAAAATTCATAATTTATAATTAATTTGTTAAATTTACGGTTATAGGTTAAAATGGTAAAATGATAATGTTTTTAGTTTTGGCGCCAAGCCGCCAATGTCTTTATCACAGACCTTAAAAAAAAAATAATAATTTACTGAGTATTTTAGATTTATGAATAATATAATGTCAGGTTGGTACTGCAGACTTAAATGTGCGAAAGGATCGAAAGGAAAATTCAAAATAATATTATATGGCTATAATATTGGCTAATAATAGTCTTAAATCGAATTATTATATTATGCACTGAAAATCAAAAAATAACCTTTAAATATGCTTTTATACACCAAAATTTGGTAAATAACTTTTTTATTGATTATAATCGTAAAAACCGCGTTCTACTAAAAATCAAAAGAATAATTCCGATTTCAAAATAAGACAAAAGAAGTTACAGCAATATTTATTCATTTGTAATTAATTATATAGTAAGTAGGCATTATGTTAGTTATTAGTTAAGATTTTCCAAATAATAATATAAAAAATAAAATAGAGTACGAAATTAAAATAATTTTATCAAAATTGACAGTGCTTATTAAAATCTTTATTTATTTTCACCAAAATTGTTTATAGAGTTTTTACTTAAGTTACAAAATATTGCAACAATATGCAAAAAGGTGAATGTATGACCATAAGGGATTAAAAATGTATTCTGTGGTATGTCCAACATAGGTATTCAATATATATTATATATATATTATCTAAAAAAATTTAAATGTTGAAATATGTACAAATGTGTTGTAAAATTAAATAAATTTGTGTTTTATTCATACTTTTATGAAATATACTTTGTGTTATATTATATCATAGCACACAAATTGACTGACTTTTAAAAATGTATAAATCCAAGCTTTAATTCTATGTATTTTGAAGTATTTACATCTTGGGTTTTGAGTATTTGGGTTGAAATTTTATAAAATTAATTTAATTTTCATGCAAAACCAGTCTGATAAAATCAATGTCCAAAGATTAAAAATTATTCATTTAAGTATTTTTTAGATATATATGTGTATGTTAATTGTCAAGGTACAATGATGATATGTTAAAATCTCATTAAAGAAAAAAAAGACATGGTATATATTTCAAAAAATGTTGGCTCTCTTTCTGTCATTTAAATTATTAATAGTTTTTTTAGTATAAATGTATGATAAAAAAGGCGGGTAAGTCGTGGATGTCGCTCTGCTGTACAGTAGGTTACAAGTGGGTTACTGTAATGGATGGAATTAAATTTGAATCCAATGAT